GTAACAATTCAAATATTCACGGGAATGAGCTATTTTTTAAGTTTCGAAACCGACTTCGTCCCAATGATCCTATCATAAACTGTTCTCGATATGTCGACAATGATTACTTGCCATACTATTCATGTTATATGCCTCACGAAGCGGCTATACTTGGTAGTTGCAGTCTTCTCCTTACCGTAGTGAATATTCTATGTATTATTGTCATGGCCTTGATTATTCTTCGTATCAAAGAAGTGGTACCATTGCATCAGGCTAGTAAGGAAATCATGGAATTCTTTCATCATGATGTGAAAGTGGCTCGTAATTACAACAAGTCAATCAATGAAAATGATACTATGTACAAAAAGAAATTCAATTCACCTGGAATTGGGACCATCGTATTGAGTAAATCGGTTGCCAAGCATTGGAAAGGATTGATAGCATCGTCGAAAGACCAACATCAAATATCATCGGCCGCTAGTCAACCGAATCTCGAATTCTATTCAACTAGTCTTACAGACTTGAATCGTTTGCAGACGTATGCTAAAGATTTTGATCTCGATGTTTTTCGTGCTGAAGATCGAGAATTGACTACACCTGGTAGCGAAGAGAAAGTAACATGCTTCGTAAAGAATATTCTCGATATGTACGAAGAAGATCCGTCGACATTTGTCGATTTGCATCAATATCAACCGTACGGAGCACAAGTATCAGCGCGAAAAGAGCATATCTCATTCTACGAACGTGTTATTGAATTACTTCCACCGAAATGGTTCGACCTTCTCGATCGTGAACGATGTCGAAGAATCAATATAGGTCTTTCTCATCAACAAAGGTCAAATTCATTTTCTGCGCCGTCTTCTCACTTTTTGTCTCACTCTCGACTAAATCAATCGCTCAATGAACAACATGGAAGATTTAAATTGATTCGACTTCAAAGAAACGAATCCGAACCGAGCAATCATCGTCGCGTCATACATTGCGCTGAACATCAAATAGAACTTGACAACATGCAGCAGCTGGATATCGAAACGAATCCTTCGAAAAACTGAAGACCGCACAAACATTCGGGAATCGATGAGTGTTTATACATATCCGAAAACCGTATTTTTTGCTCACAGTAATTGTGAACTGAAATAGAAGCTCTTCTCAAACAGTAACATGCTGATAGTTTTCTACTTAAAACAAACCAATCAATATCGATCGATCGAACGCAGTAACCATCCAATTAAAATTCTTAGATGTGAATGATCAGAAGAACTTTTAGTACGAATATAATTGCGATACCTATTTAGACATCAAGGATGGTTTTTATAGCAGAGGCCACATCCGATTGCTCTAACAAGGATGTAGAACAGTTGAAGTTCCATGCAGAATTCATGAAAGTTCTCATTGTGCATACCTGTAGCTATTAATTGATGAAGCATATACTTACTCAATATTCACTAAGTATTTCAATACGGTGTAACAGCATACATAGTCCAGTTCCTATTGTCAGACATTTTTCTACCATATGACACTCCTATCTTTCGTGCTCTTTTACACAATATTCTTATGTTGCACCTCTCATTGAAACTATGTAGAAGATTTTGACTGGCACAGATAGTATTTGTGCGTAGATTATATTCTTTTTAACCTCATTGAGTTATTACTTTCGCTTACTTAATAAGTGCAACGTTAATTGAAATTGAACATCAAAAATTGACAGATGATCTGTATGTCTCTAATGTCTACTAAAGTATTGCGAAAAATACAGTTGAACAATGCAATCATCATTCCTTGAACTGTTGAGCTGCCATATACATTCCAGCTGTAGTATTTGTAGCATTAACAATGTAAACGGCCACATCTACATCAGAGTATGTATTCATAAGTCTTGTCGAGAGCAACCAAGGATAGTTTTTCATGGGCTTAAATTAAAGTTCAAAAATATCACTGCATGATGTTGATACACTTTTATCCATGTCAAAGCATTTGCTATGAACTATGCTTGAAGCTAATGTACACAGAAGCATACCATGTAGAAGTGTACAGTCGCTAAGAGACTTAAGGTACGAAACAGAATTGAAGAGACGCATTGTCGTT